TTATTCTGTGTATGTAGCAGGTCTGTTTTCTTGGCCAGGAATCTGAAAACGTTTTCTAAGAGGACTTACCTAGCAGCTGTGTTGACAATTCTATTTTTGAGTGCAACTTCTAGAGAAAGATGAGTTTTTCACACCTGTGCCTCTGGAGCTCACTTTTTGGAAACAACTGGGCTTTGCATTAATTTTGCAGCAAATACCATTCACTACAAAGAAAAAACCTGAAGTTTCACCTTCTAGCACAGACTGCTAAGGAAGAGCAGTCTGTGCTACGTGGAGAAAGTTTTTCTATGAAGGCTCTGGACAGAACATGAAAAAGCAGTTAAAAGGCACCTTTTGATGCTGCAATGTATGCCTTCATTGAACTGCTCTTTGAAAAGTTTTATTGGGACAAACTCATAGCTCAGTTTCAATCAAAGTATTACCTCATTGCAATTAACCATTTCTGGACTTCTAAAGAACAATATCTACCTAGTGTAGACACTGTAAACCTAAAAAAAGAACAAGTGCCTTCATATTTGTGCTCATGGTTTTACAGTAAAAGGAGCATGTTTGGATTTCCCTTTGGGTGTGCAAAGCCTGGAGTGTGAGTGACTTGGTCCTCAATATCAAGGATGTATTCTGTACTCTAAATTCTGTACTTTGGCAACCTGTGTGTGGATGGAACTTCCCCTAAAATTAAGGCAACATCCTAAAAACCCTCCCACCCCCAGAGCAGCTGCAGTGGTGCAGGGGCTGGTGGTGTGAACAGAGGCCATCATCTGCCTGCAGAAATAGCTGGAATGTCAGAGCCACTTCACCAACAGAAATTCTATCAGACATCTGAGAATCTTACTGATTATTTCCTCCACCACTGAAACATTCATGCTAGAAATCCATGATGTGAAAGCTGCAAATCTAGGCAGTGCATAGGTTTAAGGGAGAATCGAGAAGTCAGCTTCTCTTTTTTGTGAAGCTGAGTTATGGAGCATTTTGACATTTGCCAAAGCTTTATTGTCAAGTCAGGTGAAAGATGCTTTTGTCTATGCAGTCCCCTTAATACCCATGACAACAAGGAGAGTTTTTTGATAACACCTGAAAATAAATCAGTGTATCTTTCAAAGTAACATCATTTATCCTGTTTCTAAAGGGAAATAACTCAAAAACATGAAAAAAGGAGCAAAAATTCCTTGTACAATCTCAATCTCATGCCTATGTACTACACACTATAATGTTTAAGATCTATAATCATGTTTTTCCACTATGTCCCTGAATTGTTCAGAGCTCAAGATGATGACTGCTTTGCAAATGATGCAGCAATTCAATACTTATTTTTTTCCTTATTGTTTAGAGATTCCATAAGTCCCTTACTGCAAACCACGAAACTGTCTCAGCCATGTGAGGCATAGTATTCCAGTGGATGAAGGAAATAATTCTGGCTGCTGCTCCACTTTCAATTGATGTTTTTATAATGATTGGGTGTGAATCATTAGTTTTAATTCACTTTTTATAGAAGTGTTTGGAAACAAAGGTTAAAAATCACGTCTTCTATATTTTTTGCAGATCTTTAGGATAAACTTTGCAAAAAAACCAATCAGTACAACTTCAAATGAATGAACACCTATTTGGAATAACTTGAGGAAAAAAAAAGCCCACTAGTGGTAACCGTGGCCAGCAGATGCACTGCAAAGTCTTCATTCTGAGCAAACATCTATGTTACCACATTGAATGTGTTTGATGAAGGGGGCTCTCCAAGAGGGTAAAAGATTGATTTTCAGTCTCACTGCCAAGTATGAAAACCATAAAAAATTTATTTTTAAGTGCTATTATATCTTTCCGGAGAAATACAAAAGACACAGAAACTTTCCCTGGTGATCAAAATATTTCATATAACTAAAATAAAATGTTTCATTTTCATGCTTATGCAAATGAATTGAGTTGTTGAAAAGTATTCATACCCAAAATTGTTGAAAAGTATTCTTACCCAAAATGTAGGAAAAGCCAGCATTTTACCCAACAACTTAGCAGTCTAAGCTCTTTCACTGATGCACACCAACTCAAGATCAAGTCCATCTCTTCCAGAGAATGCTTTAAGTTGGAAGACACTAACCACCATGTTAAGGAGAAGAAAGGAAAGCTTTAAAACAAAGTTAGAGATCTTGTCAAGAGTTGTGAAACACACCAGTTTTATGGTTTTATTTCTACGGTTCAGCTGGAAAAGGATGGGTATGATGTGGCCACCTCAAACAGCCTCCTAGTGTGAGTCCTGAAATAGGAGAGCTTTTAGCTCATGCCTATGATCTGCCTGGCAGAAGGTGTTATGTTTCTAAGTGATTGCTAAAGCCACTGGCTTAGAGTGCATTCTGACCTGGGCTTTCTTTGGAGCTCTTACACTTGGTAGAAAATTAATTACATGCAGACTGAGAACACACAGTGATTCTCCCATGTGATGAGTAGGAGATTTGTTGAAGCCAAAGAAATACCTGTGTTTAAATGTGAGCTCCTGGGAGAGTCAGGCATTCCCTCCACATTCAGGACTACAACACCACAGGCTGTCTAGGCCACTTGCATCTGAGGCAGGATTCAAAGGTGGAACTAAGCCTGACTTTTCCATAGCAAGTTTCCCATGTTATATAAAGGTTATATCATGCTGTCATTGTCTTATGTAAAAGTGCTAATTATACTAACAATGGTATGAATTCAACTGGTATTTGCAAAAAATGCAGGGGTGAACATGCTCCATTTTTTTTTTCTGGCAGATTCACATTTTTCTTATAAAATAATTACCTAGAGGCACCCCTAAATTAATCATAGGATCTCTTTTGCTCTTTTTCAGCGATTTGTGCACTTCAGAACAGTTTGCTGATTTTCTTATTTGCATATTTGAATCTGTGTCAACTAACTTTCCTGTGGGTTGGAGAAATGCTGAAGATTGGATTGTGGGGGAGTCATGCTCAATATGTGGTAAACTAATGCTTGGCTTTCACCACAGCATAGAAGACAGTTGGAGCAATCGTGAAGAACTGAGGTATGTTTAACATTTGTAACACCCTTCTGATCCTCTCTTGGGGTGAACTGAGTGTATCTTCCACGTATCTTGCACACCCTGAGATCTTAGGAACAGATCTCTCAAAAATTTTCTGCGCAGTAAATACACAAACTGTGTCTAACTTTTCACTAATACGGGACACTAACACATACTAACAGCTTGTCATTTTTAGTGGGCAGGTTAAGACACTGAGCTCTCTGTTTGTAGCTTGTTTAGAGGGCTCCACTTGCATCCTGTCCTCTGGCAGAAGAAGCTGGGTGATAGCACTTGAGACTGTTACAACACACCCAAACACTGCTTACCCACCGTGTGCACAAGCAGTGTCAGAGCAGTGTCATTCTGCTGGGGAATGGGAGGGAAAAGGAGAGGGAAGAAGAAGGAATGACAATGTGGGAGAGGTAAAACAGGAAGGGAGGCTGGAGGAACACAGAACGCCAGGTGCGACCAGGCTGCATACACTGGCTCAGACCCAGAACTTACACGGCAGCTAATGTGACACCACAGCAGTACTGGCACCTAAAAATTTCTGTCTAAATGTGAATTATGTATCTTGAATTATGATATGTCATGATACTGCTCTGTGGCTCCTCACTGATAAGTCAGTCTGCAAGATCATGGTCTTTTATTTCTTCTGTTGGGCCTTCTTCACTTCTTTCTGTGTCTGACATCTCTCTCTGTACTTTGGACAAGCTATCACACTTCTCTACAATACTCATAAAAAAGCACTGTAATATCTTTTAAAACTGTACTTTTGGATTTTGCTATCAAATACTTTACAGAATATTTTTCTCTCTCCCTAACCCAAAAACAATTCACCTTGCAGGAATTTTCTTCACTTACCCCATTCAGTTTTTTGCAGATGTTCATTTGCAGAAAAGAAATTTATGGTTTTGTTCCCCTGCTCTCCTCTCCTAGGTTGGCAGGAATTATCCAGGTCAAGGACTATCATTCTTGTTTTCTCATTCTTTGTGTGATGCACAGAAACGTCTTTCCTTTGCTCTTTCCTTTAGAAAATGGACTAATCCTCATTCTAGCTTGTCAGCTCAGGTGTGCAACAAATAATAATGGGGAAAAAGTATTTAAGGGGCCCAGTCAAACCCTGGTACTACAGAGAGCAATACTGCCGAGAAGTAGTACCTTTTTGACAGCTTGCTAGCAGGCAATTTGTAATTTTGGGTCTAGGAGCAGCTGGATTTGTGGTGAGGAGGAAGTTTTCGGGGCTGAGGGTGCTTTTCCCTCCTTCTGCCAGCAAACAGCGATCCACGCCAGGATTTGCTTTCCGCTCCTGTATTCGGTATTTCGGCGATGCAATGTGTAGCACGTTTCTCTCTCTCTCTCTCTCTGTGTGTGTGTGTGTGTGTGTGTGTGTGTGTATGTGTGGTGTGTGTGTGTGTGTGGGGTGTGTGTGTATGCATGTGCAGCTTTCCCTCGCAGTGTCTTGTCTCCAGGATTTCTCCCTGCCTGGCTCCGGAGGCTGCTCCAGCGCTGCGCGGAGCAGAGGTTTCCCCGGCTCCCGTAAATACAGGCACACGCATCCAGTGCACCACACGCACGCACACCACACACACACACACACACACACACAGAGGCACACAGGCACGCTCCGAGCCGCTGTCCAGTCCATCCCCACGCCGGCTGCTTTCCCCACCGTCTCCATCCAGCCTGGTAGAGGCGGCAGGCACAGCTCCGCGGCGGATCGCGCTGACGCTGCCCCGGGACTCCGCTCGCAGCAACGCGCCCGCGGTTTTAATCTTCATAAGCTACAGAAGCTACAGACAGATTTTTACCCTCTTTTTTCCTTTGCCTTTTTTCTTTTTTTCTTTTGGCTGTGGGGTATCTTCTTGTGGTTTTGGTTTGGTGGTTTGGTTTTTTTTTCCATTTTTATTTTTTTCTTTCGGCGTGGGGCGAGCGCTCTGCGTTTGGAGAAGGAGCCGGAGGGACGAGGCTACCGCTCTCCTGCCCCCGCCGTGCGCGCATGTGTGTGTGTGCGCGCCCATCTCCCCCCCGCCTCGCAAAAGTTTGCCTGGGCGGCCGGGGGGCTCCCGGGCCGCCGCCCCCGCAGCCGGGGGGCGCGGCGGAGGCGCGGCGGAGCGGCGGAGGCGGCGGCGCGGGACTTGCGCGCCGCGCGGGAGTTGCGCTCCGCGCCATGCCGGCGGCGCGGGGGGCTGCGCGGCGCTGCGCCCTGGCGGGGCCGCTAGTGCCGGTGCCGCCGCCGCCGCTCCTGCTGCTGCTGCTGCTGCTGCTGCTGCTGCTGCCGGTGCTGCCGGCCGCGGGGACCGAGGGCAAGGCGCGGAGCTGCGGCGAGGTGCGGCAGGCGTACAGCGCCAAGGGCTTCAGCCTGGCCAGCGTGCCCTACCAGGAGATCGCAGGTAAGGACGGGGCCGGGCGCGGCGGGGAGCGGGCAGGGCTGGCGGAGCGGGGCCGGTGCTGCCGCCGCCGCCGGGCTGCGCGCACGCCCCACGGAGCGCGGCCGGGATCGCGGCGCTGTGTGCGCGGAGCGGAGCCGCTCTGCCCGCCCGGTGGCACCCGGGGGCTTCCCGGAGGAGCGGGTGTGTGCGTCTAGATAAAGATTAAATAAATACAGAAACTAAGGGGGTGGGGGGTAAATAAAAAGGGGTGAGAATGACGGGGACGCAGGCAGGCTCAGCCGCGTTTCTGTTCGCTGGCTGAAACTTCTTGAGAGTTGCAGCCGGGCGGCGAGAGGCAGCGGGCAGGTCCGCAGTGGCGGCTGTCGCCGCTGCCGCCCTGTGCCGGGGAGAAAGGAGAAAACTTTGCCCTCTGCCCGCGGGCACAGGGCGTGATGGAGGCGGCGGAGGAGGAGGAGGAGGGCGAGGAGGGCAGTCCTGCTCCCCTCCGCACCCTCCGCGGCCCCAGGCCGGCAGGGTCGCCCCTTGGAGGCGCCGCCGGGCGCCTCCGCCGCAGCACGGATCGAGCAGAGGCACCGGCTGCCGGGGAGAGGCACCCACACACATGCACGCACAGCCGCCCGGCAGCCTGTTACTTGGCTCTTCCGTCTGTTGAAACATGCCTACAACAGGTTATATCGCAATCCGCCTACGAAGGTGTTGGGAACAGTTTTTTGTTGTAATTCTATTTCCCTACTTTTCCATACAACCTTATCAGTATTGCATCGTTAAGACTGAATGAATAAAAATACGTTTGGGGCTGAAATTCATTTGGCAATCGGAAAGCACCACAAAAAGAGAGCTATTATACGTGAAGATATGAGCAGGGCTGCTTAAATCGGACTGCTTGAGCCCTCAGAAAAGGTTTATGCTTCGCCACTGGCACTTTGCTGTTAGGTCCTGCTATTTGTGGAGTGAATTAGGTGCTCCTCGGTTTGCTCGCTTCCTCTTGAAAGTTGGAAGCAGTAGATTTATCTTCCTTGAGGTGAAATAATGCCACAGTTATTCACTGTGTAACATTTAGCACTTTACATGAGGAATGATAAATGTAGAAAATCTCAGGACAGCGAGGCTGTAGTTCACAAAGATACAGGGGAGGTTGTTCCGTGTTGCACCTTCATCCCTCAGGCTTACTGATTCTCTGGTCTTTCTGTACTTTTTCCTGTAATTTATATTCAGGTTGCTCATCAGTTATATGAAATCATGAAATCTCTCCTGTGAACCACAGATCCTTTGAATATGCAGTCATGCTTTCCCTTTGCTCAATGTTACACCAGCTGCTTTCAGACAGAATGGTAGGATATCCTCGGTTACATTAAAAAAAGAAATTCTAATAAATTTCAGACTTCTATTAACTTTGGGTAAACACTTGTTGCTTTCAGCTCACTGAGAAGTTTTATTGTTTCATATATTTTCTGAATGTACAGTGCAAAGTCGACATGCAATTTTTAAGTAAGCCCAGCATTTACAAGTTTCTGTTGACATGTATCAGTACAGAAAGACTCAGAGTAATTAAATATTTGATAGTAGTTCAATCCAAAATTACTCCACAGTTTCCTGCTAAGTTTTATAACTAAATCTGCTTTTATGATTAAGTACATGACTTATGGGGGTGTGAATTATTTTTTCTGAGCTTCCTGTTGAAGTAGTTTGGGTTTTTTTTGTGGTTTATATTCCTTTTTGCTAGTTGGTGTATCAACTTTTGAGCAGTTCTGTTTGTAGCTGTTCAAATGAGCTGTTGTAAGACTAGGGTTGCTTCAAAGTGTGTTTCTAAGTGTGTTGTTCTTGTTCAGTGCTGCAAGGTGGGGTAATAGCTGTTCATACAGCATGGGCTCTTGTTAATGTTAAAGCTCTGTATTTGCTACCTGGTGTGATGTTGGAAGTGTAGTTAAAGCAGTCAATGTACAGGTTTGAGAAGCTTTTTTCTTCTTATATTTTTTTTTCTTCATTCTGTCTTTTTTCCATCATTCTGACTTGGTTAAGGAAGCAATTTGTTAGTGTTTCAGAAGTGTAGTCCATCAAAGGCCTCATGTTTTAAGGAGTTCAAAGAACTTTATTACAGTCTTATTTCTGAACAAACATTGCGTTTTCAAAAGATTTTGCATCAATGTCTTGATAATGTGATGATAAATAGTAATACACTGTGTGCTTTGATTTAACAGTAGTCATGTTTTTTGTTGTAATTTGTCTAAAAGCTATTTTCTAGCTACAGCTGTTGAAATGGTAAACTGAAGACTGTGTATGTACTAAGGCAAAGTGTATATGTAGTGATGTAAAGAGCTGTGAAGAATCTGTTTAAATTATAGAGGCTATGGACATAGAGAGATCTCTCTCTGTTGAATGGAACTGCAATGCAAGAGACTTGTTAGATAACTTCTGTAGCGTTATTTATACTGTCACTCACTTTTGCACAAAGATGGTAGAAGTTACAGATGAAAAAAGTTGTCAGTTTTTGCTCTGTGAGGAAGAGTTTTCCTATGGTATTTTGTTGCATGTGAAATATGTTGAAATATGTGGCAGTAATGTGACTACAGTTGTTCACTGTACTTTTACAACAATGCTAAATTGTTCTATGTGATTTTATAGAACATATCTGTAATCACCCTTCTGTTTCTGACGTCTTGTCTAATTGTCTACATTCTGGTGCTGTGACCTTCACTGGAGTACAGCACATAAAGTTGTTTTCTGACATAGCTTAGCAAAGTAAGTCCTCAATAAATGAACTTTACCTCAGAATGGGGGGCAGAGGAAGGAAATTTGAAGTATACTTGGTATGCTGCTGCGGGCTTAATTCTGTTGCATCAGTCATACGCAGGGTGAGTAGCCGCAGCTCGCAGTGTGCGCTTGGCTGTCCTTGCAATGGGCTCCTCCCTGAGAGGAGCTACTCTGGCTACTCTCCGAGTGGAGTGTCCTGTGTGTTAGAACTCAAGAGTTCTACTGTGAGACTCAGGTTACCATGACCCAGCATTCATGAGTATTAGTGGAGCTCCTGAGCACTTTGCAGGAAATGCTGAGGGAAAGTTCGTAATTTGAAAGTCAACACACAAGAGAAAAGTCACAGAACATATATTTTGGCAAGACTTGTTTAGCTCCAGCCGTGCCTTCAGTAACTTACATGGTCTTGGAGGAGGCCATGAAAATGAGCCTCCTCAAGTAAGGGTTGGATTGTGCCCTTGCCTCAGAATTTTCTGAATGAAAGTGAATGTCTGTGTAAAGTAGTGGCTGTGTCTGCTTTGTGCCTTTCCACTTCCAAGGTGAAGGATGTGGGGGTTTTGTGTGTTGTGGTTTTTCTCAGTATTTGGTTTTTTGTTTTGCTTGGGGGGTTTTTACTATTTGCTGAATAATAGTTTATTTAGATAAAAACTAAAACTGTTCTGATAAAGCATCCAGCAGTAAAAGTGTTGAATTGTTGAATTCTAAATGCTGTGTAAGAGGCATGTGAACTTTGTTCTCTTGCAAGGATGATGGACGAGATTCTGGCAGCACAGTCACCATAGTCAAAGTGACTGAAATGAAAGCAGAAACAAACCCTTCATTTTGAAGGTCAGGAGTCACTTGAAATTGTGCTTTGATGAATAGGCTTTATACTGGCATAATACAGAGGCGTTGACTGAAGCCAGCTAGCATACATAACACAGTTGCTTGTAGCTCCTAAGTGGTAATAATAACAACGATAATAATAATAATAATAATAATAATAATAATAATAATAATAATAATAATAATAATAATAATAAATACCTCCATAGTCATGCATGCAATGGAGCTATTAGTCCATGTCAGATATTCTCAAGATATTCTTTCTGAATGTTTTGCTTTCGTATTCTAAAATGCAGTAATAGATTGACAAAATTGGGAAAATCCTCCTGACTGAGTCTGTATCCAAGTACTTGTTCATTAATACCTTCTTTTACTGTTTCTCTGCTGCTCTCACTGAGAGCTGTGAGAAGAAAGTGCCTGTAGACCAGGAGGTAGATGGGGATTCACAAACAGACACCTTGTGAGGTTGCCTCAGCAGTATTAAAAAAGAAATAGCCTTGCTAAAATAAATACCATATTCAGTGCAAATTTGTGAAATCTTTTTTGGGCCATTAGACGTTAATTCACTCTTGATCTCCATGATGGCAGTGAAGATGGACATGGAATTTCATGTAAACTTTAAACTTCCTTTTTGTTTGAACACTGTTGTAGTTGTATCCTCCACATGGTGTGTGATCCCCTCTCACCTCGGTTTGAAGTTGCAGTAATTGCAGCATCAAGAGTCTCTCTGATCACCTCTCCTTATGGCCTCCCTTATTTTCCAGTTGTGAGTGCATGGTGCATGCTAATAATTTGGCATGTGCATGTGAGTGTTTGGAAGTGCAGCCTTCCTAAGACCTATCTTTACTGTCACTTCTGTACATGTTTATTGGTTTGTATGTGACTGATGCCATTAAGGGGAATACAACTTATGTATGCACATCTAAAACCGAAAGGTGATGTTTGTAAGATCTTGGCCTTTGAGAAGAAATAGCATGTTTTTAATGCTTATAAATAATTCAATTTTGAATGAGAATTTTATATCTCAGCATCTGGAGTTTCCCAGTGTGACTTTATGCTAGAGTATTTGGGAAAGAGGGACTTTAAAATAGAAAAGGCAGTGCTTTAATAATTAATGTAATTATGAACTTCAGTCTATAGTCTCTTATCATCTCTTTTATTTCTGTTGTCAGTCTGATTTATCATCAAAAACATACCTGAAGTACAATATTTTCTACACTTCTAAGTGCTAATGTGTTAAACTAAAGCTGTAAAACTAATGTGTTCTAAAGCTCTATTAGTACTTGTTTCATCATATGCTGTTGTGAAATACTCCTGAGATTAGGTGGTGTTCAGACACCAGAGGTCAAGCACTATGTTAAAAGCTCAGGCCATTCTTTTTTATATTACTGCAATAAAGAATATATTCATTTCATTCATATTAC